TACCGGCAAAAATCGAGCTACAGAATAAAACCGGAGATAAAGTGTGCCCCGACGAACCTCGCAAGCTACTTCCGTGACGTGGGTACAACACGTTTCGGGCCAGCGTCTGCTGGCTCATGGAAACAAGCCTTGGTTTTATTACTTAAGGACACTATTCAGAGAGATGTCACATTCTGGAGTGTGAGTGGTGTTCATCTAGTGTGTTGTTCGCACAATGTTGTCAAACTATCACACTGTATTAGTTCCGGAGCTCATTCAACCAAGAGTTCATAAACCAAAGCAATATCCCTTGTTCTGGTAAGCAAAGATAAAAGGGAACCCCCTAGTTCGGGGGAACCTCTTATTGACCTGCAACTATTTATTAACATATGCTGTCACGGCAGAACTAAAGAGAGTCGGGTGGTGAGAAAAATCAGCCACTCTAATCACGCAATGTTTCACGCACCGCCGTTGCCTTCTAAAGGAGGATATTTGCTCACTGTGGCCAACTCTAAAGATAAATCGCCACTGATAGGAATCAATTACAACAGACGCCAAGTAAAATTTGCTTCCATCGATCCGTCTGAATACGACCAAGTAGTGACGTCCAAGGATCATTTGCTAAGTAATCAGTAGCGTTTTGTGGATAACCGTGAAATTTTGATCACGTTGCCCACCTTCAGCAACCACCTACAAACAAAATAGTAATGGATATTTCCTAAAAAAGCAAAGTACTTTGAATACTCAAGAATACTATAAACAAAAGTGATTCATGAAAAAACGACACGTTTGTGGCAGGAGCAGGACATAGACCCAACAAACTACAATCCCAGTGTTACTACTCGGTACTGGCAGCCATTTGCCACATGCGCACTGAGATTCAGGCAGTTTTATTCCAAACTGTGTTCCAGATTTTCATAGCTGTAAACCTACGGATAAAATATGTGCTTTCGAAAGGTCCTGTGGGCCCGGGAGGGGGGACAATTTGGTCAAGGAGCCCGAACATAGCTTCATGATTGTCCTCTGGCAAATCAGTGATTCACATCAGAGAGACATAGCCACATCCTGCTCTCAGTTCAACTGCTACTTTTCTAAAACATCTGAGATAAGATAGCATTGAAGCTAAAATTCTGTATAGACCACAGAATGCGTTGAATACAGAACAATCGAGTTGAATTTCATTATTTGCCGTTTAGATAGAGTTTCGCCTCGTATCTATGTAAACTCCATCCGATGCTCTTTGTCTCCCTGAGAGCAGTAAAATTTTGTTTGCCACACCTGGTATGGAGTCCGAACTATATAAATGCCATTTATCTTCTCAAGAGAGTAAATTGGCTCGACTAGGAGGAATTAGTATATGCGTGCTTGCACGCAGAAATCTTGGGAAAATAACACTCCTAAAGATGATAAAAGATACGATGGAAGTCAGATAGACAAAAACACCAGTATGAAATGGGATTTACGCTTCAGGGCCAAGATCAGATACAAACAGGTAGTCTAGGCACATTAGCACATGCGTATTATGTTGTGAACAATACACTGGGTGGCGTGTACATTCTAGTTAGAAGCACGCAGATCCTCTGAGAGGGAGAGTGATGGAACTCGTGGGAAAATGAGTAAAACTACAGCTTGCGTGCGAATTCACAGTAGCTGACTGCCAAACGAGTACAAAAATGAAGAACGAACATGGCGGTAGCTATGGTAACAAGGCAACAAAATTCGTACAGGAAACACCACCTTCACCGGTCGGGCGTGTCTAGCATGGTCTGCTTAAATTGAAAAGCGGAGTTTGCTGCCTTATACATTTAAATGAAAACTAAAGTTTTGATTAAGAAGATCATCGGATTCGATGGAAGTCTTTTAATAGGAGAATATTGTAATCTTCCCCAAGCGGAAACCTCCCAAGACGGAACAACCTCATCTTGCGAACAAACCGTGTGGAAGACTTTTCGGAAGGGCCGAAGAGGAGGTAATTCCTAGCTTCTCATAAAGTTTTTATATGTAGCAAGAGGCACCATTATCGTTATGGCCTGTGACACCATCCAACCTTTTAGTGGTCGTACTACAAATGGTTTGTATGATAGGCAGTGTCGATGTAACCCGTCTTCACCATGCGCTCCCCCAATGAGCCTAAATCGGACAGGGTATTTTTGAGCCAGAGCACTTTTCATTGAAGCCTGCTTAGAGAGGAGGAGGTAAGCTTGATCAAACCACCCAAAAAGCGTTTGTGGTTTTGGGTCTCTAAGGTCTCTCAAAATGATTCTTAGTGATCTCTCAATTTGACTAAATCTTCTGTCCGACGTTTGGGGCTAAGCGTTTACAGAAAATAACTAGCTATTGGAATAAAAATGTCTACCTGTTCCTAACTAGTCAGCAATTAGGATTGAAAACTCCTCGTCTCCACCAATAACTCTCTGTAACTTAGCAGAACAACACAATATGTGGGGGGAAAATGTGGCAGACTCTCCCAAGAAGAGCCCCCTTCAGGAGAAGCTAGTCCATCGAAGAGTCTACAAATTTTTCAGAAGAGAAACGATCACCATAAAAATCTAGCCCACCTGCCTTGTTCCATACTTGGATATCACTGTGGACATATGCGGAGTTGAAAAACCCGTACATAGGATGAAGTGTAATTCAGGTTAGTCACAGTCTCGCTCACGAGAAACTTGAACTGAGTGTACTGTGCAGACGCCGACTCCAGATGCCTCCCCTTGATACGATACTACTCATAAAGATGACAATACTCACTTCAACACCATCTCCATTTGTACGTGTGCATCTTATCACCTACACTGAGAATTATAATTGGTCTAATGCTAAGTTATTAGCGTAGTACTTGACTCTTCAGGCCAAGCTTGCCGCTACGAGTAATCAGTTAGCATTCAGGAGGTTGGATGTGGCCGTGACGGCGTAAAAGTTCCTCCAACCCTCCCAGTAGCAGTTCGTGGCGCAGGCGACCAGCTGAGTAATTGACTGACATTTTGCCCACAAACGCAGTAGGCTTCCACCGCTTCCACTTGTCAGTCATGTTTCCTGATCTCTGGTATTTGGTGTTTACGCATCACCAACCTTATACTTTCTATGGGGTTGCGATTCGTCAAAACTTTAGGACAGACAGAACACACACTTGTTCGGACGGACGATGTAAGGGCGACAGACGTCCGTGTAGGTGTGTGGTTTGTGAATGGCACAGATTAACAAGAGAACGTCATACGCACTTACTGAATGCTTTCCTTTACAATTAAGAAATAGCAGGAACAATCGGTACCATCCCATTTAAAAAGCTCTCCGTATTGGACTGATTAGTTAGACCAGCCATGGTTTCAAAAACGGCGCGATGCTCAAAAGGAAGCCACAAAACGAGATAAAACTAACCAGTTCAGCTCTGTCTCAGCAGGTCGGTGAACAAAAAACAGCTAATGTCACACAAGAATGACGTTTCTGCTGTGTGAGGTAAAACAACTATGTAATCTCATCAAAGTAGTACACAGCTTACGAATGAAGAAATAAATGAGCACGATGAGGTCTATGAGAGACAGTTTAGAGCATACTTTCAGGACTGATCATGTCCGGTTTCAAATTCAAAAAAATACTCCACGCTAATCCGCTGGATATTTCAGTACATTAGTCATGGAGACCGTGGAAAGATCAGGAAAAAGTACATGATTAATTAAAAAGAACGTCAGGTTTCTGAGGTAGTGGACGCACGGACATAACCAGGTCAAACGCGGAGGACCCCTACCAATCTACTCTAGGATATGTCATCACCAAATAGGTCATTTATTGATTGGCTAATGGTTTCGTTGCCAGATAATTTTCCGTAGACAGGGAGTGTGAACTCATCTGTTTAGACACCCTTCTAGTGAATTCAACCCTCTCATAAATGGTTTGTATCACTGAGTAACTGAATTAAGTTACTACACATAAGGGGGTTTCATGTTGGTATCAGCAATACGGCAAACGCCATGTACAATCCACATTTTGTATACCTGAGAACTGTGACAAGACAGCACCATATGCATGCCACCCGAGGAACCCTGCTTGTTCTAGAAATTCAAAAGTTGATGGCCCTTGAGTCAAAAAGTGATTTCTTGAGCGAATAGGTTGTCCAACTGCATCTCTGTCCAACGGCTTGGTAACGTTGACGAGAGCAGAACTGCTCGGCTGTAAATTTGCATCGCAAGGGATAAGCCACCCCAAAGAGGTGCGTTTGAGAAGGGAGTAGCTTGGCCACTCAGGCTGAAAAGTAAAAGTAGCGTGACAGTAGTAACCGGTGTCCGTTTGAAAATTGAGTTCGACGTTCCTTATGTCGACAGTGCAACGGGCCAAAGTCACAGCATGTTCCGAATTAAGGTTTCCACAGTTCAACGTTCCACGGTCTAAGGCCCGAAATGGACCGCTTTTGTTTCAAGCAAAGTAGATGTGGTTTCGGTTGCTAATAAACACAGTGCTTTGAAGAAAAAACTCTCTTCCAGTTTACAGTGCAATGTAAGTACAGCTATATCAAAATAAATCAATAAAGTGCTGAATTGTTTAGTTTCAGGGAATAAGACATGTTTTAGGGTGCTTCACGATTTCCTCTGATAAATTTGTGACAAATGACATGAAAAGTCACGCGGATTTTGGCGAGACGATTCTACAAGACTGAAGAGCAAATAACAGCCTATTAGAGAAATCGGAACCAACCAATCACAATCGCCGAGCATAATTACTGTCGGAAGAGATGCCATCGTAACCGTATTTACTTTTTCAAAACTCTGTTTTGTCATTTGAAGTAGGACTATTGGCGCAACTGGTAACCAAAACAATTAGCTACTCTTTAGAGCACAATCTAAATTCACGTACTTATCGATCGTAAACGGCTGATGTGCAATTCCGGCAAATGGTGTGAACAAGTCTAAATTTTTGCCCAGTCTGCGTTACAACCCCAGAGCTGACGCAGATATATCTCGAAATTCCAATGAATCAATTTCACTCGCCGAAACACATTATTTGGCTTCATTTTAGGATAGTTTACTTACAGGTCCAACGGAGGTTTTCGAATCCGTTGTATTGGTTTCGGGGGCTCGGGATGCTGCGGTATCTCGTTCGAAATTGCAAGTCCAATCGACTCTCTGATTTGCCTCGCCATCCCGCGTGCCTCCAGTTACGTCGCTGCTTGTGGGCGAATTCTGTAACGATAAGTGTCGTAACCGCCAGCTGGGAGTTGAGGCAGCTCTGGCTTTCCTGTCGGACTTTTCCTCGGTAATTGCCGCCTGTGAAGGACATGGAACTATCGGTGGATTCTGATGTTGGTGCTTGTGGTGCTGCTGTATAAGATGGGAATGCGGGTTCACACCAGAGCAAGGGTATCTGGGTAAGTGAGTACTTGGTTGACAATGCAGAGGAGCTGCTTCCACACTGTTACTTCGTACAGATCGATCGGGTATATGAGGACCAAGGTTATCACAGTGGGATTGAAAGCGACATGGTGTCACACTTCGGTGGTTTCTTGTTGCAGAGCTGTTTAAAACAGCGTTGTTTTCAGCTGCTTTTCCGATTCGTGCATCATGTATTCCACCCAATCCAGAGGATGTTCCTTGTTGCGTCCAATTTGGAGGGATGCCTGGATGTAGATATCGTTTGGGATCAGAGCAGTACGGCAATGGTGTCGGACATTCATGCTTCATGGAGGGGAAGTAATCCGCTCCGCTGTAGATGGCTGTCGTGGGATGCATCATTAATAGTTCAGAAGTTATACCCTGGGTTGACATGTTTGCTGGACTCCAAGGAGAGCGTATATCTGCAATGTTAGGTGGAAATTCTGCAGTACCGCGAGTGGCTGTATAAGGGTATCCGAGTCGGTTTGCTCGGCCATATTCTGATTCATGAAACCACGAATAACTCTCAGTTGTGCCAAATTCACAGATGGGATTGGCGGAATAGAGGGAGGTGCCATGGAATCCAATAGCACGGTCACCGGGAGTGGTAGAAGGTCCCCGACCCCTGCCATTCCACCCGCCACCACGTGGAAGTAACATGTTGTTGTCCCCCATACCACGAACTCCGAAACGTCCCCGTCCTGAACCGAATCCCCCATCGGATCTCCGATCACCCAAGTCACCTGGTGATCGTGGATAGCCACGGAAACCATCCACACCACCGCCACTCGTTCCACCATACGTTCCGCCACTTCCTCCACAAGGTCTATCACTCCAACTCTCGCCTTTGTGCTTTTTCGTAGCATACACCTGGATTGGGGTTACAGAAATTCGATTCAAATTAGTTTAATCACTACATAGGGAAATCATAACTCGAAGATTTCCGGAATATAATAAGCTTCTTACCAGTTGATGTGCCTACCGTGAGTTCAAGAAGCAAGAAAACTACCTGAGATAAACGGCGTTATTGATGTGGTAAAGAGAAAAAGCTGTAAATGGCTTCCGAAAAAAAGTATATCCAACCGACGAATAGACAGACCTCAGCAATAGTTTGCTTGTGGACATCTCAGCAATTTAATTAAAGTGGAGGTCGATAATCCCAGTGGTAGGTCGGTTATCGAGCAAAGGAAGAGCTCAACTTAGCGTACAGGTTGAACCAACTCAGCAGTGCCTAAACTAAGTTGTCCCTTTTTTCACTGTCAAGGTAGATTAGTTCACCATTCATCGACCGACTAAAATGAATGCTATCTACCTTCTATTGAGAAAGCAAACCGGCGGGAATGCTAATGGTAACAGAGAACGCGAACTTATGACCTTGAAGCACAAATGGTTGTACCTCGTGATTATCGCGCAAACAGAATGTCACCCACGACCAGTTATTCAGTGGTTCAACAAAGTGGACTTATTGGATTTTTCAGTCCTGTGCGTACCAACTCTAAATTAATCACAAATTCAATGAGCAGGTAATCTCAGTGGCACGCGATGGGAATCAAGGACTACATAGCTGCACAGGAGCACGCATCAACAGAAATGTGTTCATTGCTTTACATGCAGTGATTTTTTCTTAGAATGGACCGGTTATGACAGAAGCGGTCATGGTGAAATGGAACGACTTTATCCGGTCCCAATTTGAGATCCACCGCATGGAGGATATTCCGTGGGAGGGAATTCTAAACTCAAAATCAGCCTATGCAAACAGACTGATTTGGTCACCTAGACTACCCACAGGGCATCCAATTTAATGGCAACAGTCTTAGTGTTCCACTGGTCAGGTAGGTATTGTTCCAAATCCAGAGCTTGTGATTTGTGGTTGAATGAACACAGCATCCATATCTAATCAAGTAAGCTAACCCGGCATTGATATACAGCGTGTTGACTCTAAGTTTCACTGTGATGTCGACTTCCACAAGTCAGAAAACCGGTAGGATTATAACAAAACTAGATTTCACGTCATTCGTATCCTGGTACACAGTGAACACCTACAGTGCTAACCTTGACCCACTTTCGTGAACTCTGTTTACCAGCACAAGCCTCGTCAGCCGGACGAATGCCACTGCGCACTCAAGAGCAAACAAAGTGTGGGGTGCAGCAAATGATGGTTTCCTCCTGGTTCAAGCTAGCGATGAAAACAATACGAAAATTTCTAAGGTTTCTCTCTGTACGTTCGTACAGGCACATCTGCTCGGCCTAGAGATGACAGTCAGAGGTCTGAAAACATCAACCGTAAACAAAATGTGAACCCGACCCGACTGGAGATTTACCACTGCAGCAGGAGTCGATGCAAAGCAGCATATGTGAATGTTCACAATTCAAATGTCCTGGCAAATGAAAGCAGTTTGAAACAATTTGAGGTTGATATGGTTAAGAAATAGGTGAGTACGGAGACCAGTCACTCTGGTTCTAGATTGTGCTTGGTAAAGGACATCAAATCCACTATAGGGTTAATTCTCTGCAAGAGAGGATGATTTTAATCGTTTCTTTGACTGATCTTGGATAAATATCCAGATAAATAAGCGCAAGAACGGCTGAGTTAAATACATCGGCTGAGGAGAAAACATTTTGGAGAAGGAGACTCAGTATGATGGTATGAAAATTCACTGATGCGAACTACCGCCTCGCCTACGGGTCAGTGAACACGTGTCTATGAAACAGCCAGATTGTCTAAAGACAACGACAGCCTTCAGTCAACTAAATCCGTAGCCTGACAAGCGTGTTTGGCTTGCTTGCGCGTTTAATGCGAAGGTTCCCGCAGAATCTTTACCGTTGACTGAGTAGCTTCAGTACCACGAGTGCGAACGACGCATCCGTCATACACTTCCGGACATCTGCCGCGCGTCAAATTATACCTTCAGAGAAATGATACAGTGTGTTGCGGACATATCGAAATGTAGTTTCGAGCATTGTGTACAAGATGGTGCGACTACGAACCGTTGGAATATCAAGATGCTGGGGTTGCCGGATTGACAGAGGCTTATCTTTAGCATGCCAAGGAACGTAATTTGATATAACGGCTTTTACAGTGACTTTAGGTCGGAGATATTAGGATAAGGAGGACGGTAGATATCCAAAGGGATTTTAATGCGCAACCTTGGCAGTTGTGATGTCTCTTGCTACTGCAATGGCCCAGACTAAGACCACGTGCGACATTGTCTTCGAGACAGACGGACGTGCACATCAGAGCTGTCTAGAAGCTACCGTAGTAACAAACTTTATTGGAAACGACAAGGGCGCACGGCACATGAAAATCGTATCATGTGCGCCTGGGTGTGTGGTTCCTCCAACCCGTCTGCCTATGCCACACACAAATCCCTGTTGACTGGGCTCGAACGCATCACCAAATATTCACGCTTATATTTCATTGTGCCCCCAAATTACGGTCAATCATACCGTAATTTGGTCGGTTGCCGAGAAACTTGCTCGGGTGTGCTGTCTACCTCACCAAGGTTTCTGGGACCTAGAACAATGGATACGCGACAAAGATCCATTTGTACGTTTCGGAACAGCAAACAGCGATCAGCTATGAAATAATACGTCACAGTTTACCATTCCGTTATCCACAGTGCACATTCGCCTTAATTGTGTGAAAGTAGACTGGACAACAAAACAATTAGGATAAATTCATATTCAGTCATGCGACCCTACTGATGCGTCTGCTGGATGCGCAGTCCGATTCCAACTACAATTTTATGTAGGGCAAAAGCGATCAACCAAAATTTCGCAATGATGCCAGTGTTAATTGCTTCCACAGCAATGAGCAACTGTGTTCGTTGTTCATTTGCGCTCTGAGTAAAGTCTGATGATGTGACGCTGAACCATACGAAGGAATTTTTCGACTGTACATTTATATGAGGTCACCTTATTAGCTTGTGTTATACTCATTCACTTTGTGATTTCTACACCGAAAAGCAGTCGAGCTGAACACTTTGCATTGCATAGTTTCACAAATCTATCAGAGTGCGATCAACCAATCCTGTTCGGCCGCACGACACAACCTAAATTTCATCATCGCTTATGTAGAAGTGTAGATTTGTCGGAAAATACCCTGCAACTACACTAAATTATGTTATTCTTCGTTTAGAACCCGAATATTGGCTTGGCTGTTTCCGTAACTTTACACTTTCCAGGGAATATCAAGTTTAGTTCACTACAGTGAGCCAAAAATGAAAATGCGTCAAGCTGACGATCTCAATGGCCTAATAAGAATCCTTGTGGGTTTTGATGTGCAGTGATACTCCTATATAAACGTTATTCCTGTACCAGCAATAGCGTCAACGACTTCGCACGTATCGAAACAAGTAAATGCCTATCTGTGTTTTGATTTGATGTAGTTATCCTGTAAATTATGATGGCTAATAAATTGAAAAATACTGAGGAACTGTTTACTTAAACCAATCAATGTAGATGTTGAACAGGGCCAATTCAAGTTTGCAGTTGTTCACACCGGTAGCAGTTTCCAAAAGTTGGAAATCGGACGGAGTAGCGATCAATTGTCAACGTCAAGCGGCCAATAAAATGATTTACAAATATCAATAAAATCTCAACAACCCTCCAACATTTAATAACCACCTATAGAGCACGCCCTCACAGATCAAGAATATCCCTATTATAGGCATCCAGCGCTAGGCAAAAACTTCCCAGAACACGGCAAGAGGTATCTCATAATGAGCAGTTACTCCTGCAACATGTGATCTGTCACATTCACCACCCAAAATAGTCAAAATTCCGTGGAGGGTTCACACGTCCGATTTACATATGCGCAAGCAAAGGCAAACTAGGACCTGAGGAATAGAATCAACTTGGCAATGCCACTGAAGATGCCTTGCTGCAGGTTGCTGATTCCGTCAACATGGATAACTAAGACTGACTTGGAGTGGTGAACAGAAATTGTACTACATCTTTCAGCCTTCGGTGTAGCGAGTGACTGCATGAGCTTGGTGAGTCTGACATCATCCTTTTAAATTGTTTTTGGAAGCGGACCTACCGATGTATTGTATATATTAGCAATAGGACAAACAAGCGACCGAAAGCGTATTATAAAGGACTGCAAATTTCAATTGAGCTCCGCGAAAAATAATTGCCATCCAACGACTTTATAGTCTAGACTGTTTAACTACGTGATAGAAGATAAGGCAAACTGAATGTGCCTTTCAGGTAAAGCACCGTCACAGGCATTTTGAATGGTCTGTTCTGACCACAAACCGATTCGTCCTATCTTTTAAGCTGCAGGCAATCACTATCATTCACCGAGTCCGACTGCATTTAATGTGGAAAACACATGCTCACTCCCGCCAGTTTCGTCTCCCACAACTCTAATCGTCCCGCATTTTATAATAACTCCTTTTGTAGATAACGAGTGGGATTTAGTCTCTACCGCTCAAGTACTATCCAAACCTGCACTGTGGCTTATTTGCTCTGGCAGTATAGAGCGTACTTACCAGCACGTCCCGCCACACACAGTTCCAAATGAAGTGTTTGCTGTCGCTGACAATCGGACCAAAATAATGCACTAGCAAGGCCACATGTGACTGACTTTATTACAGGTATAAGGTGGTTGATGTAGGACTTCAGTACAAACTCTGCACTGTCGTCGAGTTTACCGCAATCCCCTGGCCAGGGACATGCCATACAGTGTGCTCATTGCACAGGCGACAGACGCATGGGCGCTTGGATGCACGGCTCCATGAAAACGAAGGTAAGGCAAACAAAGCGAACCGATAAGCCACCGGACGATAGAAACCGGTACTAGCTAGAATGATCCCCTATAAGATTCTGAGTCATAATTTGGGTAAATTCGATCTCATTTTTGCAAAGCATCATTGATGAATGAGCTTGAAACTGTTTCTGGAGTGAAAGTCGTGTACATAAGATGCCATTTGTCTAGGTTTGACGCACTGAATTAGTTCATCGACCGATTCACAAGGGACCACTGCAAGTCAGTGCCGTTGGACGATTCGTGAACCTGTAGTGTACCTGAGGAACGTTCGGAAACAATCATTCCGTAAAATCTCCATGAGGTTGAGAAGTATGCCATCGTGTCTTTATTGAACCAATGTCTTGAGATCGGTATTATGGGGCATGAGACACATATGCTTTGTACAGAGAGAGCATTTGGCCCAAAACTAAACAGAACAGATTCGACTATGTCGAAGATGTTTCTGACTACGCTATGATATGTGTACCAATGCAGAATTAGGTTCCAAATAACCTTCCACTAAGAAGGATAGTAGCAGTGAGGAGCTTGGGCCTAAACAAAGCTTCTGAAGATCTTCGACATAGACGAAAATTTAATTTGGTCTAATTAAACCGTGGATAGTCACTATGCGTTCAAAGGGTTTTCTGACGTGAGGATCCATTTGTTGTTTCCTCCACAACAAACTACTGAGTTGGGTCACTTTCAGAAGCCTATTTGAATTCAAAATCCACTTTGAATAAGGGATATTTATTGAAACGCATACTGAAACAACCTACTTTCTATCTGTTGTTCTCCTATTTCAGATTAAGTTCTGCCGAATGGACTAGACTCAAAAGACGTTATTAACAAGTAGCAATCCAATAATTATGCCGCTACTGAAGCAACTAACTCCACTGAGTTGATCATGTTTGCTAAAGGGAATAGCTAGGTTGCGACTGATATACCACTCTGATGTAAAAATGGTGACACATTTTCCAGTTCCACTTAGTTTTTCTGCGTTATATTGGTCAGAGTAGCTGTTTGTTACCACAGTTTCGGTGGCATATATTTGTCCGCATCGGTAATCGCACTACATACCCAACGGAAACAAAGCGAGTTTGAAATTATCTAGACATCAAGAACTTCATGCATAGCTGCTGCATCTAAACAGAAGTTGGTGACTGATAGTTTGAAGCATGGTGCAGTGAGGTCATGTATGTAACACTATCAGTCCTCGGACTATTTTACTCGGGTTTCGCTCGCCACTCTCACTGATTACCTGTTATCTGCAGCTTTCAACAGATAACATTCCAACGACAAATGGGCCGGAATTACAAAGGTCGAATTATGGAAGTGCTCGAGGCGTATAATATTAACCTTTCAATATGCATGCTCATTCAAGAAACACGGATTTCGCTTCCGATAAATAAAAAATTCTGGAACACCCATGGTTTTCATAGGGCAGTGTAAACAGTTTGCGCTAAGTCATTGGAGGCTTGGTCAGCTGCGAGAAGATCAAAACAAGGTAGTACACTATATTTGACTGGCTTACCTCAGCTCCATGCACCGTCTTAACATGCTTCCTCAGGGAACTCGGGTCAGTGTATCGCTTGGAACAGCCGTCAACTTTACACGTATACGGTTTTTCGTTACTGTGCGTGCGATTCTGATGTTTGGCTCGATCCGAAGCATTGCTGAATGCTTTATTACATCCCGGAATCTCACATTGATAGGGCTTCTCGCCTGTATGCGATCGTAGATGGGTTTTTAAATTCTCCAATCGTGAATACCTCTTTACACAGCCTTCAAACTGAAAGTGATATGAAACAGGATGTGAACTGTCAAATGGTGTAGAAGGGTATTTTTTCTGAAGCTTTAGGAAATGTACACATCTGATAACTGGGGGTAGGTATTACGCTTGCTTCAACTCCTTTCTCACGATGCAGGAAACTGATACTATCACCCTCTTAAGAAGTCGCTAGCAAACATAGAAAGAAAGCGAACTTGTGCGTCTTTCATGCAGCTCAACCAAAACAGATGAGGATCAAAGGTTCCCAGGATAATCTGTTAGACCATCAGCGTTGAATAGCACTGAGACTCTTACCTTGCTTGTCTTTTCCTTTAAATAAACACTCGGATGTAGGAAATCAAATTTCGATAAAATACAGTTTGATAGAAGTTTGAGTAGAATTGACAACTGACCCCATTTGGAACAAGCGGAGATGATCACGTCAAAAACATCATAGAAGTTTACGCTTTCTACACATACCTGATCATATCAATATTTTGTGAACAATCTCAGTAATGACAATACAGATTTGCCAAAGAAATAAGGCAGGTTTTCATCTTGAGTGATTTTTTTATTGATTTAGTATCTGCGTCGTGATCTATCACGGATCTGACAACCAAATAATTTTTACCAACTTTTAGGGTCCCCAAGAAGCATCTGAAAATTAGCTAACCTTGAGTATATACAAGTAACAAATAGTGGGGTCATCCGCTATGTATTTTGTCATGCAGTGTACTTGGTAGGGTACGGTCACTGGTGGTCAGATTCCTGACAAATTGCGATGCACTTGCTAAATTAAGTGAAAACCACCTGAATTCCTGTATCGTGTGTGAGATGAGACCAGTAAACGCCTGATTTTGAACGATCGAATCCTGTCAATGAGCGCGCAGTTCACCGGAAAAGTGTATACACTCTAGCCAAAATGTGAATGCGTATGAAAGTATGTTGGTCAGTGAAACAAATTCCCCGTGAAAAGTTCACGACAGGATAAAGACCCAGATTTTTTTTAGGTTAGATAGTTATTTCTCAAGAAGTTATCTGAATACGCAACATAACGATGTAAGACTTGCGCCTCCCTGATGGAAAGACTGTTAGCTGGTTCTTTCAGATGCCTGTGGCCATGTGTTCCTCCCAGGAAGGATAATCCCCGAGAAGATCGTTTTGGGCCGGTCACTCTAAGGCTTACCCACCAACGAGGATAAACCGCAGCCCCTTCACTTCTTCACTGAGGAAGGTTTGGTTAAATTTATATTAAGAATTTCGGAATTTCACCTACTTTCAACAGTCCGTAACGGAAACGAACTGTCCAAGTATACTAGGCAACACTACCTCGGCCATGGTAAACGATTTTAGTTGAGATTCGTCACGGAAACATACGAGAAATGACGACCGCTCTCCAGAAAAGTTCCCGAATTCTGGTGTGTAGAACAAACCAGTTTTATCGCCATGTTTGGATAGAGTAAATTGTTTACTGGAAAAGATCTTGCTTTCATAGGTACATGATTTTTGTCGGTTATCGAAAGTGATGTCGTTTCGCATTGTGCTAGCCTTTCCAAAACCCTGGGTCTACGACATTCAACGGCCAGCCTCTTGAAGTATTCTGCTTAAGCACACTCTGCGTTGTAAGTGTGATTTTGGTGTGTATTGCTTAGCCTACGAAAACAGGTCTTCAAAGAGGGTCCGGTCAGAAATCGATTAGTCACCCTATCGGCAAAATCAATTCACGGAACACACACACCAGTAAAATCAGGCGAGGTTGCAGCTACACATGAAATTCAGCGCCAGGTCATTCGTACGTCAACCTTCACTTAACATAGTGGGTGTGCCAGAACCACGACAAGGGTCATTTCACCCGTATTGAGGTGAATGCTGAATGTCCAATGTCCTCACTCCAGGTAAAAATATTGATCATGAGGAAAGATTATTCTAACCCGTGTATGGGTCTCTGGCAAGCTCCCTAAATATATAAATTTCCAAAGTAAACTTATGTGACTTCGCTTCGAAACGGTCTTTCGTTGAAAGTGCTAAAGTAAACAAATCGGTAGATGGCCGATTCCCAATCACGAAGGTCAAATGTTGAGGCCTACTCCTAGACTACACTCTCTCGGAACACCCGCTCACTGGTCAGATGTTCCACGATCGTGCTCTAAATCTGATCAACACACATGTGTTACAACAGAAATGTGCGACCAAACCATTCGGTCGCTTGTATTTTGAAGTCAACGGTGCTACCAGAATGCCGAGAGAACACTGAGTTCGTCAACTACTGCGAACTGCAGAAACTTTTATAAAAACAGGCACGTTTACCTCCTAATACCAAACTAATGAAAAGTCTATCTATGCGAAATAACAGGAGACAACCTACAGGAAAGATATCTACCATGACTAGAAGTTAAAAACAGGCAATTCCCCGTCCGGATATGAATGATCTGGCCCGTTTTGTTATAACAGTCCGTCGGCTGCACAGGTTGCTGCCTAAGCTTGAAGTCAGGAAATATGGCTACATATTTAGGGTGTGCAACAGTAGACCGGTTAGTTAAGGATTTTGGAAGAAAAATCAAACTCGTCTTCACCATGTGTGCATACTTCAGAAAAGTGGACAGCTCGCGCTTGGCCGAATAGCCACAACTACATGGGTGAGGGGATATTTCGACAAAACGCCGTCGGGTAGGCGGAATTCTGTACGAAAAGATCAAGTGTGGATAACTGATCCGAAACCGATCCATAACAACCACTAAGTGCTTGCTCGATGATGTCAACCGAGGGTCTAAAGTGCTCGAACATGCTGTTTCTTGGTGAGTTAACCCATCTTCGACGGATCGAAGAGGCCCAGTCGGCAATAGAAATTGGTTCCGTGGTTAAGGTTTCACCCAATTTTTTCATAAATGGATTGCTTTTTCAAGAATTGTTGTTTGCAGCACGTCAAATCATAATGCGGTGGCCACAACCGACTAGATGTTGTAGGTGTGTATGGGTCACCAGCACTGCAGGTTAAACAAAAGGAGTGATGAGTTTCAGTCCAGCGAGCAATCCAATCATCACCTTTCTAAACAGTTCGAAAGGCGGCTATGTTAGGAGCAATCCAATCATCACCTTTCTAAACAGTTCGAAAGGCGATATTGCTATGTTAGAAAAAACAGAGAGGATAGGATGCAGACGATTTCTCATATACGCCAAAAAATCAAAACTAGTGCCAACTTACAATACACTTATGTGGCTTCTCTCCGGTGTGCCGTCTCATATGAACTACGAGCATGTATTGTGCTTTGAACGGCCGTGTTCCCCGAACACATTCACGCCACAAGCAAACGAAGCTCTTCTTGTTCCCGGCAATGTGCTCGTTACTAATATGCTTTGGAAGGCAAAGAAAAGCAGATGGACAGAGGATTAGCCGTGGGTGAAATGGTGATGAATGATAGTTGAATATTGTGGAATTTCAGAACCAGCATCGTGTAATGTCAACCTAATGTTAGAATATCAGTTTTGTTACACTAAAACTTCGTTTCGAAGTATGGTAAACCTTGTGTGAGATTATTCCCAAAGACAACTGCTCAAGCAGCATACAACAGGCGTTTTTTGTTCCCAGGATCTCCAATTCACTCTCCATCCGCAGAGTAAACAACGCGGTGACACTGTTCGTGATGGTTCTTCTGAATAATCTGTTAAACTAAAATCGGTGATTACGGTGTCCTGAGGTACGGACGGTTTGTGCTGGACGTAACTTGATTTTGTACTCACACTATGAAAAAGCTGTTTTAAAAAAAAAAAGAAAATTAACTTTTCGTTGAACCTGCGCACGATATTTCGGAGTTGGTTTAGTTAATTAATTACCAATCAGATGAAGCACTTTAATAGGGGAAATATCTCGGAATGCCGCGTCGTTTCTTTACGGAGGAATGCTTCGCTAACTACAGTGCAGCAGGATAAAAGGGTAAGGACAATTTACTGTTGAATGTAATCTGCTCGCACAGCAAGTCACCAATGCTAAATCACAGATTATAACATATACACATACACTATACAGAGTAGTGACATGGCTGTAGATAAAGTTGTGGAAAACTTGGAATTCAATGTGTTAAAATTTGGATTTCTTATGGTACATTGCTCTCTAATTAGGTTCCAAAACTAAAAGGCCTGAATCTTCGTAAGTTAATTAGGTTAGCGCAGGAGCGGAATATGGCTAAACTGCCATGTTACTTCATTCAGGTTAACAATTCACTAATTGACTGGAATTCCTCAAAGCGAGAAACTCAGGGCCAACTGTACCTGGTGTCTTGGATGTAGGTGCCGCCCAGTCATCCTAGAACAAATCGGGAACAAAGGATGTGGTGAAATTAATTGAGTTAACCCTCTCGTTATTCTTCTGCGTTGAAGCTAGGGATGTTTTAAAATGCTCCTAAAAATAAGCACAAAGCCATTCATAAAGTGAAAATTTTATACGCAGTAACTACATCAATAAGGTTATAGAATACGACCAGATATCACTGAAATATGATCACAGGCCATATCGTTTATTTCGGTTGTCACCGGGTCCCACAGACTGGCAGCTGAAAAACAGGGCTGAAGGTTCATTTTTCCATGACCTACGAATTTTCATTTCTGGTCGTACATGAGAGAGTCAAAACAAAACATAGCCAGTGCTTCACTCGCAAGTGCCTCAGGTTCATAACGTGAGACACTAACAACGTGTACATTTTCCCGACCACTTACCTTCACCAATTCTTCCTGGTTTTCAAACTGTTGAGTACAATCACCCCAGCGACATGTGGTTTCCACAAAATCCGGATCACCTTCTTGCGGTACTCGGCCGTCTTCATCCAAATCCTCGTCATCATCGCATTCCCCTTCTTCTCCCTCAGATAGCAGTCCGCCGTTACCAGTGTTGTCCATACGATTCAAAGATCGCCCGTCGCACGAAGGCCAGGCGTTTTTACCTTCTTGTTTGATCAAAGATTTATTTTGGGGTCCATTACCGGAGACTGATTTCAACTTCGCACTGTTCCTAGACCCAGCTGCGCCACCAGATTCTCGACACTCTATCTGTTCATTAATTGCACAGTGCTTTCGTAGTAATTCCCGTGTTAAGGGTGGATATGCAGGCACCGATGTACCAGTAGATTTTGTGTTATTCTTATTGTCTTGTGGTTGAGCATCTTGATGCTTTGATCGATTGCTCAGTCTCTCGGGTTCAAACAGCTTGTTTGTCATAGTATCTTGGGGCCAAGGATGCGGCCAGTCATACGGAGCTGGACCGAATCCAGCGGCCTTTGCTGCACCGGGGAGTCGATCCAGCGATCGCATAGCGCTAAAAGGCCAACACTGCATCGAATTCAGGAAGGGAGCACTAAATCCGGCATACGAGTTAGTTGCATGAACACACGGGCTTGTAGGGCTCTTGGATATGGGAGAAGGGGTGGTAACGGAAGTGCGCTGCGTTATGTTAGACTCTGAAGTGATGTCCATGGGGGTATGTAGACTGGTACGAACACCTGACTCTACTGGAAGTGCTTCAGTCGGTAATGAGGTTTGGGACTTTTCTGTACTTTGTTGTACGTGTGGTGGTTTCAAAAACAGAAAATTGGAAGGGTTGTTGGAATGAGCACTTTGAGGAGCTTGCCCTGAATTATTGTCGTTGAATTCTATAGGATGCATTGATGTTCCAGTTACCGCTGATCGTGTGCTGACTCTGTTACTGACGAACTGACTGTCGTCGTTTAATGTGGAATCTGTGGAGGCCGCGGCCGCAGCAACTGCTGCCGCCGCAATAGCCATGGCAGATTTCAGGGCTGCTGCACTGGCTGACGAAGTATTTGAGAGCGCTGTCGAGCAAGTCATCCAATCTGGGTTATTTACAAAATGGGATCCCATCATGCCTCGAGAAGAAAGTGGGTCGGTAGCTGCCCCTGCAGACAAGGAATTCGGTGGGAGGAGGGCTGGTGGGGAAAATATCACATGATGTCCATATGGAGCTCGGTCACGACTACTACTGCTCCGCTGACTGCCGCTACTCGTTGGTGTACTAGCGGAAGTAGTAGGGAGATAACTTCCAAAGGATGGGTTGGCTCCAGCCGAGCCACCAGTACCAGTTGTAGCTTGACACCCCGAGTGTGGAGACCGTGGAGACCAAAATGGTGACCCATCACTAAATGGAGCTGGAGGTGCCGTGTGGGAGGAATTTCCGTTACTGCTAAACGTCCGTCGAATTCCGGTGTTTGGTCCTGGACTTGCACCTAAAGATGCTAAGGTTGGAAAGGAATAAAATGGAAATAGCGTAAAGTACTGTACTTTGAAACTAACAACACCCCCAGAGGAATGTGCGCCTTCTGAGAGCTACTGACGCCTTTAACTGCTAAAAGTCCTATAAAAACTGCTAAAGGATTGGTGATTAAATTTTGGAACTGGGTACGCCAAATCTATGTTCAAACCTGACTAGACAATCCAGCTGCGAACAACAACTGTGCAGTGCAAACTGGACAACGTACCGGCAGACAAATGCCCGTATGAACCTCCAGAACTAGACACCATACTTCGCGAAACCCTCATCGCATGCAAGATGCTCAGCGATCCCTGAGAACTCCGCGTCAGACTGGATATGTCGAACAAATCGTTGACAGACGATTGAGAGTGTGATCTTTTCTTCCCTCCTCGTACTGCCGGTCCACCTGCACTCCCGTTGTTTGGCACGTATCCACTGCTGTGGTGCCCCCGATGGGCGGCCGGTATATAGGCGACTGGAGGCAGACCCTGTTGATGGTGCAATGGGAATCGACCAAGCAGGTGAGGATTCATGGGATTACTGCTTTCTGGTGTATTGGTCGTGGATACACCTCCAGATATGAGTGCTGGCTGGGGTGGGGCAAGGGAGCTTGACCAATAACCAGAGGCTGCAGTGTCTGCAGTCGTTGGATTGGGGTTAGTGAACCACCGGCGGACGGCATTGAAAGCTGCAGCCGCAGCGGCGATTGCCTCTGGTGAAGCCGTACAGGGCAGATTGGTATTCGGTAAGTAGTGCTCCAGAGTCGACGTCTGTGTACTTCCCGACCTACGTGAACGCAGAGAAAATTGACTAATTTATATGGGGAGTGAGGTAGTTTGACTAGTTAAGCAACCTCATAGAAAACACAAGGAACATTATCTTGTGTCAAGCACCAAACAGACCCAACACAGTAAATACGTACTTTTCAAATAAAGGATAACAACTTTACTGATAAATACGTTCGTTTGCATATCAATTTGGTTTTCACTGGAGATTCAGATTGAATCTCTCGTTTATATTATTTGAGTCTCATACTAAACCAGTTTATATGCGAATGACTGTATCTATCAAAATATGTCCAATTTGGGTTCAAGTAGAACACAGAAACACGGGCAGTGCGCCTTCCTGATGAGCCCCGCGATCGTGGGCTATCGATGAATTTTCAGCAACCTCGAAAGTAGTTTACTCTATGAAAAGAGACAACGTTAAGTTCCATCTACAGACTCACCCACGAACTTTCAAGCTCTAAGGATGAAAGACACTGTGCCGGAATTCTCCAAAGAATGAACGCCCCTATAATGTACTCCGAACGGGGTCCACTCCAAGGGTTGTTCGGTCCCATCTAAGAAGCCGTTTACACTTTGTTTTTAAATCAAACACTGGTTATCAAACAAGCCCGTATCTATCTCCAAGATATCCCTATTCCACCTTTCCGAGTAACCTATGCAGAAACGTTCAGAACCTTTCAGACGCTGTAGATATGAAGATTCACCATCGCCTTGATCATAAAAATACTCTAATACCGAACCAGGTAAATGGTAGATTTACCAAGGGACCTCATAATATGAAATAGTATACGAAAAATGTGCATGTGCTCACCAACCCCACCGGCAAACTGAACGCATTAGTCTCCCGCGCTAAGACAGCTACCTGGATGATCCAGTGGTACATTATATTGACGCGTCTCTCAATTTTAGCAGTCAACCGCCCAACTGCAACAGCACTCGGTAGTTCTGTCCCGGTTACCGGAAAAGGCCAAATGTTTCAGCCGTAGATCAGCATTCATCGCACCATTAAAGAAATCACTTCCATGATTTGGGGTGAAAATCTTGTGTTTATTTTATTTTAACACCCACGGTACGATTTGACAATCTGGACTCACCAAAACTCTAAAAAAGACACAGGATGATATCCTAGTTGGTCGTGGATTATTCTCGGAAAGCAAAACACTTCCAGTCACTCATACCCTGAGCTACCATACGTGCCTGAGCCCGCTAGGTGCTACATTCCATTCTTTATAGTGTCTTTCCAACCATGCCACAGTAACCCATCTTAACCTCCCCAGGTAAGGTGCATGCGTGTTGTTCCGGTAAATTCGGGGTTGACGGTGAATTGGTGATGATGGAAGTACTCGACTCCACGAAGCACGTTGCTGGGACTACGTAACGGCGCAGAAACGAATGCATACAGTAGTAAAATAGCGCTTAAGTGATATGACTACTGCACGTCACTTTGCCATTCGCTTGCTAATGATGGAGTACCTCGTGAGAGCGACTTCTGAGAAGGGTTGACTTTCCAAAACGATTGACAATAGACGCTTATCCTTACAGAGGATTGAGGACAAAAATTCTGTCTAATCTGCTCACCTACGGGTCGTCACCATCACCTTCGGATGGGCGTGTCTCAACCTGTTCCAAGTAACCAAACAAACTAAAGCAGTCATTCCTCATGTGCCGTGTTGACTTAAGCATGAACAACGTACTTTTTGATCGATAAAGCATCATTCTGAAACCACGCTATTCGTTTCCGTAAACTCAAGAACTCGAGTATAAATCATGTTCAAGTCCTTGGGGGTTTCCTGGGTGTGTTTGTATGTATTGTACAGTGCGGCCAATAAATAAATTGTTAGTCGTCCAAAAAAGCCCCACGCTAAGCGTTTGTATGTAGGCACGCGTGTCGATGTGCGAAGGTGACAAAAATCAAAGAAGCTGTGTGAGCGTTTGTCTCCCGAATTCGGAACGATGCGGTGGCAGCAGCAACGGTAAGATGTTGGTCGGCTGCGTTGAGAGGACGCTACAGTTGAACATTTGGACGTCCGGTAATACAACCCAACTTCACACTTTCGCATGTTTTTGTTTGTGCGTGTGAACATGCTTACGCATGCAGGTTTCTCGTTTTCACCATGTTCTAAGACGCCGATAGACCGAAACGCGCGCGTCTAATTATACAGCTTCCCACCATATGGAAGCATTTATGGAACTTTGTACAAACGCTCGTTATATTGGACACGACCAAACTAGTTAATGTAAAAACGGTCTGCGGAAAAATCGCACCATAAAGGGTGCCGTTATGAACTATTCAAAGGAGGCTTTGTAGTGATCTTGGACCTCAGTACTCACTTAGTAGAAAGAATCTGGTCGTTTGGCGGTTTTATGTGCGGCGTAAGTTATAAAACCCACAAAAGTGAAATCACTAGGAAAATGAACGCCACAAGGAAGGAGATCATTCAAATATGGAGCACCGGAGACCAGAAAGAGTGGTTTAGAAACTTAAGAGAAATACTTCCTAAAGCTGCCTCCATTAGCGATTTCATTTGAAAAAAAGAGGGAGAATAAATGGAGAAACTGGGGGTGGAACAAAACACGGCTTGATTCGAAGTGAAATACACAGTGAATACAGTTAAATACACCTCATACACAGTAGAATTTCAATAAAAGACAAGTCTACATCTCCCTTGAAATAAGAAGGCCGATCTAAGTGTTCAGTGGTTGTCCGACAAGCGAAGGAAATGATGTCATAAAGATGGAGGCGGTATCCAACAAGTAGATCGAATGCAGCCAGACCATGCTTTTTTTCAATAAGTGGGCATTTTAATCGACCATAACTAACTAACCTCAGACAGCGCATATGAGTTTTCGGACAACGCCCGCTTGCCAGAAGTAGGTGAACCGGAACTTAATCGGTAAAAAACATCATGAACGATAGATTCAACTGGGTTATAGGTGGATCTCCCGTCAAAACCAAATTGGTATGCAAATGAGTGTGTTTGTCAAAAGGTATGGTGAGCTTAGCTGAAAAAAATATGCATGCATAAAAATTGTGTCCAAGTGCCCTCCTTGTTTCCTGGCATCTTATAAGTTTCCCCTAAATCGCTTAGTTGCATGGGCAGTCGCAGAAGTAACTATCAAGATCCCATCAGCCAAACAGTGGACTGATTGGTCGCAGACTCAGTAAGGTTCTCCGCAGTATTGCCAGTCACACGGTAAGTAAACACGCGCAAGCAGTTGACCACGAAGCGTGGACGCAGCTGCATATTTCGGTCACTGGATACGTTCACTGCATACGAGGATGCTCAGGGTGTGATTACCTTAAGTCTGTTCATTTATGCCACCTACTGCTGATCCGCAAAGCGGAGAAAGTGGCCAGTACATGATACACAATAAGCTTGGAATGAATCTGACTAGTAAGTAGTTGAGAGATAGTTTGTTTTTCATCTCTCATCTCTATGAGGAATTGCCATATCTCATGAATGCTGAAAGTGTTTAGTACAATGCTGAACAGTAATGTTGGATTCCACTTTGTGAGCCGCTGCTTCGAATTTCCGGAATTCAAGAATCTCGAGATCTGACACGGTACTTCTGGACCACGCTCGTAATGTACAGTGTAAGAACTGGTCATTTTGTGCCCATTTGTCACCCCAACCGTTGAGTCTCACAGAAGCAGTTGATGAATCAACGGTATCTCACATGACTGCCAACAACTGGCTACGAACAGAAAAATCTGTGGGAAATGTATATGGCCCCGGAATGGATGGCTTCGTGCGTACTTCGTCAGGAAACCCTTCAGCTGGGGACAGGGTTGACAGAAAAGGCACCGGAAACGCTTTTTCAACACTGACGTGCTTGTTTGTCAGTAACCCGTGCCAAAACAATTGTCCAAACAAATACGGTCGTCTTGCTTAATTTGACAGGAAGGAGCAAGTTGGTCAGTTTTTGTTCGACGCCCTGGTCATTGGCATACATTCTCAATTCTACAGGCCATTTTTTTGATGTACACGATAGATTATGTCTGGCAGGCTAGGGTGTTCTACGTGCCCGATGAATCGAAAAAAAATGCAGATATTTTGCAAACGTAATCTTTAATATGTTATGTGCAGCTGGCATAAAATTCAAAAACTCAATTATTGTAGAAGAGCCAAAAATGTGCTTCTGTGCAGTTTTGTAATATTTCTGCACACTACTCTGATACCTAGTGTCCAATTTCTCACTCGTTAAGAGCCGGAACACGAAACATCCAACTGAGTGGTATTATTGAAACCTACTATATACTTGCTGAATGGCATCTTTAAATTTCCGAATTCACTGAATAAGTTCGGACAAAAACTCCGCATTTGTTGGGGGTAAGAATCCAGGATAACAGGTTTATACGGAGGAGCACTGTAGCAGTAAACCAAAACCCAATCAAATCGGGTTTCCACGTAGCGTCTGAGTTAATTCCCATCGATCACCGCCCCAGACTGAACGATAGAACTTTCTCAACCACACTATTGGCTTCAAATGTGTTCACACAGAGGTTTGGAAAAACAAACCAGTCTGTCAACTAATTAATGACCTTGCTTGAAGAAGCAAAATATTCCTGTGTAAGAACTATCACGCAGTGTGATAGCTAACGCTTCCAAACCCAAATCTCATTCGTTGAGTGCTTACTAGCAGTTCCAAGATAATTGCTTTCAATTAGTCAAATCTCTTCGAAGAATCACTGCACGTGCGTGAGGAAGAAAACAACTTCAATCCTATCCTCTGGATTCCGTCCCCGATACACGTGAAAGTTCATTTCATATATTTTTAGGGTCTCAATAAGTGAAGTTAATCCAAACCTCGTGTGGACTAGCATCCAAAAATCTGACCGGAGTCTAGCTAAATCCGTCACGTGTCCAAAGAAAGGTTTTTTACAATATGTTTATGACCATTCAGATAGTTTAGAGATCAGAGTGCTGATGGAAGCAATTTCAGCTGCTGACTTTAGCTAGGGAGAAAGAACCAGATTATTTCAGCCATGTGGCCAGCAAAAATATTAGCAAGAGAATAATGGATTTTTCCGATATTGGTTATCCGAACGCCACTCATGATGTCCGGTAAGATCGAGGCAGTCCTCAGGAGGCATTGTGATGCCACTGTAAATTATACAGTAAAACTGCCACGGTGAGCGAAGCGTGATTCAAATGACTAGCACGTAAAAGACCAAATGATGAGCGTACCAGGATCTCTGAGTCTGAAAGTTTGGCCCGTACGGCCTCACGCAAACCAAGTCAGTCGACCGACGGCGCACTGACCTAAACTGCGCCCAATCCATGTTTGTTAGACCCTGGCACTCCAGGACTATTGCCTACAGAATGCATGGTCTTTTTAGCAGTGTCAAATGCCCAATCACTCTGAATTGCACTTGACAGGAGCATTGAGAGATGGAAAAGTTTGAACCATATAACCTCGTACATTAATTTAACCCAAACCATATCCAAAAATGGCGCTCCTCTCAGTGGGTATGCCGAACAAACGACTAAAGTGCAACCCAGTGAAAAATTCGTCCGCGATTTCATCTTGGCATCCGCAGAAAAGCAAAAGATATGGCGGTGAATTTCGTTTCTAGATGGATCACAGGCGCTTGCCACACCTTTGAAAATTGCTGAGATGCAGATGACTGGTTGTTAAAATTGGATTACCGGAGGGCTGCGTTTTGACAGATAACTGAATATGCCAGAGCACGTTAAAGTAGCAGGTCTAGCACATCGACAGGCAATATGCCTATTCACGAACAAACACATGCAGTTTTTGCAGTTCCTTGTGCCTCCCTTCCCGTGATGTGCACTCAACCGCAGCATTTCGAGCGAAGCTTTCATGTCGAATCCTGTATATATTACCATCGGATTTCGAAAAGCGATGCCTGTTTACTTTTCACAGTTTTGCAGCAAAACAGTTGTGCTTCGTTCCCGATTTGCCTCCATGCGCACAGGATATTTTCGAGGGTACAATGGCCATCGATGAGTCAACCAGGTGTCCTACAAGTCACAATGCGGAAACAATGCTGACAGATGTCTGAAAACAATGCATGTTTGGGGAAGCCAATGCCTAGTCAGCAGTAGCCTGACTAGGACCGCCGGAATACCACCGGGAATGTAGATGGGACAAAGTTTCTTCAACTTGGGTGTGTGATATTCCTTATGAGGCATTCCGCGAGGCCAATCCACTGCAGCTGTCGGGGAGTATGACAGCGGATCGCCGAGTGAAGTTTAACTAGCAAACTTAATTTGTAGAATGGGACCAATGGATGGTTGGAATTTGTACGGGTCTCGTGAAAAGTGTTGTGGAAAATTCCATATTCGTAGGAACTATCCAAAACTGTGCGAAATGCTTCCAGCTTTTCCCCACATCCCACCTCTTCATCTAGATTTGTTGAGCATCTCTTGCCGAATAACCCTTGGCGTGATGTACTGCCCTAGCAACTCTCATGATATCGCAGGCGAAATGCAAAAGTGAGGCATCGTTATTAGTTATAGTGAGACAGTATAATAACAAAATCCTAACGAAGTGTGCAATGACGACGTCATCTTGATTGCGGACGAAACGTTTGCAATCCAATGATTAGAGTGACAACCACATGATGAATAGCCAATTCTGTGAGATACTTCGGCTGATCTGGTGCGGTGACAACTTGTGGGTACGGAAAACACTGCTATCTACTTCGAGGCTCCCTTGAGTATTACCGTTCCCCAATGCTGACGTGAATGCTGCTATCCTCTCGCATTATCCCTCTAAAAGAAGTTGTCCCGCTGATCACCATACACTTCCACAATTCTCGGTATGAAGCTACGGTAAATATTGCATTGGAGCTCGGTTAGGTTGTTATCCACAGAACGTGGACAACCTCTTTCAAGAGGGAATATGAGAGGATATAATGCCCATGGCAGCTCTCATTTTGCTGTCAATTACCTTACGCCTAGTCTCGTTGCCTTGGCGCTGATGTGACACCTTTGAGTCTGTTTTGGAAAAAAATGAGTTCACCCTAAGTGAGAGTGGATTTTAATGCCTGCAAACTGCCCTCTAAATTTTGAAACAGTAGCAGCGCACTATAATTTACCCCAAGTATTCTGTGTTTACTCAAATATTCAATGAATTTATGGTAATAACTGGCTGTCACCCACGTCCAGCGTTTTCGGCACCGATTTTTTCAACGGTTGATCCACGAAGAACACCTCGGCTCACATCAAGACATGGGTTTTTCAGCTCGTGAGCGGCCCAATAACAGTGCTTCTGGTGAAGTTAGGGCGAATGTTTAGCATAAGCAAGTGAAGTCACTCAGTTAGGTGAGCTTTCACATTTCGACTAATAAGCTCCCCCTAACAGAGACAACCATACCTCCAAATGAGACCACTTCCCTCCGTTTTGTCTTGGCTTGAAAGTGTTACCTTTAGAAAGACCACTCCAAGTTCCCCATAAAGAGCAACCTAATTGCGCCTTAGGAACAATCACTTTTTCTCAGAAATACTAGAATGCAATTTTTTGTTTTGGTGCCACGCAGGAGCGTATACAAACTTGCTTCCAACATGACTGGCGACTCAAAAAATGAATTTCAACCTTAAAACTTGCAAACAGACTTCTCCATTGTAAGGCTTCTTTCCTGAAGAGGGCATAGCGACGTTCTCCGTCATTTTGACAGTCTGGTTGGATGGGAACTCTAGTTAATGTAGACACATTTCTTTCACGCACGGTGAAATTTCCGGATTTCTATATAGTCTGAAGGTTCACAAGCTTTTAAGCCCATCATCTCCCTAGCAGTCAGTGTACGACATCACCACTTCCTCACTTTGCATTTTACAGGTGAACAGAAGAACCAGATTAACTAAAACATCTTATAAAATAGTACAGATTGTTTACCCTCAGGAGACAACGTATGGCATTGTGTGAAGTGTTATTTAGCCTGGAATCCCGACAAGGAAAGATCACCCTCTCAAAAAATTCATTGGTCAGCTATAAAATTCGCATTCAGTGGTAATGGTTACACAGAAAACCTTCAAGTGCATATTTCGATTAGTACACTCACTACTCATGAGTACCTTTACTTTGTATCTTTACTTTGTGGTGAACCTGACACCCAGATTAGCCATTCGAAGCAAAGGTCGGAGATGTTAGAAATTTTCAAACGCCATGGTGTACTTAATAATCTCTACCGAGGTTAGGGTGAGACAGGTTTACTGGTCCATGAACTTGCCAGTGTAAAATACAAGAAAGTGAAAGCTTGAATGAATACCTGTGAAATTGCAAATGACGTACATGACGAGCTCTGTAATCGTTCACCAGGGTACCAGTTGCCTATTGTGAATAAACGCCCGTTTTTGGCATTTTGATCAGTGATTGGTCTGTTGCTAATTAAATGGAATCCCAGACAAGTCCAGCTACAATGACTTCC